TATATCAAGTGTGGAACAATTATTGCATTATATAATATAAACAGTGCTTTATCATTAAATAACTCCTTTAATTTAATTTAGTTAAGTTGTTTAAGAAAATACAGTTTATTTTAAGAAACGTGGAAACCTTAATTCAATTAAAAAGGCTGATTGATGTGTGATCTTTTCCTCTTAAAAATGAGTTTTCGTAGGTAAATTTAAGTAGCTGCAGACATTTTTGATCAAACGTTCAGGGCGTAATCATCGATTTCCTGCTCTGTGATTGTTTCCTTTCAGTTAGTTTTTCTCTCATTGCACCGACTCGTTCCAACAGGTGGTGGCCGGCGGAGATCTGCAACCCCCGTTTGGTTCCGTCAAACATTCAGAGCCTTCGCCACGACGTTGGCGACTTCCCCGTCTTCTTCTTCGGCTCACAYGACTACTACTGGATCAACCAGGGCCGGGTCTTCCCCTACGTGGAGAACGACAAGAACTTTGTCACGGGTCAGATAAACATCAACAAAACCTTCAAGAAAGGTAACGTGCACCCAGAACGCGGCGTGGTTTTGTTCTTTTGAAGCTGAGGGAGGAAGAAGTGTTTTCTGAGACGTTTGGTTCGTGTTTCAGCTCTGGAGGAAGCGGCACGCAGGTTTCAGGAGCTGAAGGCTCAAAGGGAGAGCAGGGAGGCCCTGGAGCAAGAGCGCAACTCTCGCAAACCTCCGCCGTATAAATCCATCAAGGTTTGACACTTTTTTCCTCTAAAAACAACCAAAATTTTAGATAAAAGATGATTCAGTTTTATTTATTTATTTAAACAGTCMAACAAGCCAGTGGGTAAAGTGCAGATGCACGTGGCTGACTTGTCAGAAATCCCACGCTGCAACTGCAAACCTACAGACGAGCATCCCTGCAGCCTCGACTCCCAGTGTCTGAACCGCATGCTGCAGTACGAGTGTCATCCACAGGTCTGTCAACTTTTTTTTTTTCTTTGTAGCAAATCCCTGAAGTAGTAAAGATGTTAAATTACAGCACTGAGTTAGTAATCCCTGTGTCGTTTCTGTCAGGTGTGCCCTGCAGGAGACAAATGTGAGAATCAGTGTTTCATCAAGCGGTTGTACGCAGAAACAGAGGTGTTAAAGACTGAGGAGTGCGGCTGGGGCCTCAGGACAAACCAAGCCCTCCGAAAGGTGAGTCTGGAGTTTGATGTCGAGACTCGTCTCCCAATAAAAAAAAAACGTCCACTTTATGACTCAATACCAGTTCTTTCATTTAACCTTCCATTTTGTTTTGAGTGACTCAGTTTTGATAAACAACAAAGGTGTTGTCGTTTACCTTGTGTTWTACAGTCTCAAATAATAAATGGATATTTTACTTCTATTCAAAGTAGAGATCAACCTAAAACAAACTGCTTCAAGTCTGAAGTGAGCTATTTGTCTCGATGCATCAGGAAGTTCACGACCTACAAAATATTTCTTTTTACCCACTCTGCCCGCTTCATCCAAACACTTACTCCCACTTGCATAATTTCAGATAAGGTCATCCCCGCTTCGTCTAAAGAAATAAAAATGAGATGTTTGTCGTTTTCTCCAGGGGGACTTTGTGATCGAGTATGTGGGAGAGGTCATAGACACKGAGGAGTGCCAGCAGCGAATCAAACGAGCTCATGAAAATCACACGACTAATTTCTACATGCTCACGCTCACCAAGGTAACACGACTGAGTGCCACTGAAATACTGACATGATAAAGTAAACAAGAATGTTTCACACTTTTTTAAAAGTATAGTTTTAAATCTAAATCTGTGTGGCTTCTGAAAACTGAGTGAATTTGCTGAATAAATTGAAAAAGAGTGCTTGAAGCTAGCAAACTCTGAGCTAAACGCAGAAAAATTGTTAGCTATCAAAAGTCCCAACAGTAAAAAAAGTGCTGAAAGCTAAAAATATTAAATGATTAGCTAAATGTAGCAATATGCTATCTATCTAAAAGCTAATAAGTCAAGCTAAAAGCAGTAACAGGCTAGTTAATGGTTAAAAGTCTACTGAAAACTAACAGAATTAAGTGGCGAGCTAAATGTTGCAAAATGCTGTCTTAAGGCTAATAAAAGTCAAGCTAGATGCTAAAAGCAGGAACAGTCTAGTTAATGGGGGAAAAACATATTTACTGAACACTAAGTATTAAATTGTTAGCTAAATATAGCAACATGCTATCTAAAAGCTAATAAAAGTCAAGCTAGAAGCTCAAAGCAGTAACAGGCTAGTTAAAAGTAAACAATTACTGTAAGCTAAAAGTATTAAATGGTTAGCTGAATGTAACAACATGCTACCTAAAAGCTAATAGAAATCTAGCTAGAAGCTAAAAGCAGCTACAGGCTAATTAAAAGTAAAAAAAAAGTCTACTGAATACTAAAAGAATTGAACTTTTAACTAAATGTAGCAACATGCTATCTAAAAGCTAAAGTAACAAAAGTAAATCTAGAAGTTAAAGCAGGCTAATTGTGTTAAAAGKTTATCTAAAAGTAGCAACAGGTTACCTTAAATAATTTTTTTTCTAAAAATTAAAAAAGGCTTGCTAGAAGCTAAAAGTAATATAWAGCTAGGTAAAAGTTAAAAGTAGTAAAAGGCGAGTTAAAAGCTAAAAGAAAAAAGTCAAAAGGTTAGCTAAAAATAGTAACGGCGTTGAATGAATTGAACAGATCATCATGCATTTCTTTGAAAAATAACTGTAAAAGAAAGTTAAATAGTTAGAAAAGTGTAAAAGATGCAAAAAACAAACATCTGAATAAGCTGAACAGTTTGAATTATAAATGACTAAAGTAGCAGAAAGTATGCAGAAGTAATGTTGATCCATCGTTCATACAGCCAAGTTTTCCTGAGTGGAGAGCATTTTAACCCCGATGTCTCCATGTTTCCTGACAGGACCGTGTAATAGACGCTGGTCCAAAAGGAAACTCCTCTCGCTTCATGAACCACAGCTGCAGCCCGAACTGTGAAACCCAGAAGTGGACGGTGAACGGAGACGTTCGTATCGGACTCTTTGCCCTCAGTGACATCGAGGCCGGTGAGTTCAGATCAGACGTGTTTCCTTTTATCTTCACGAAGCGCCGAGTAAGTTTTAGAAGTCGTTAATGTGAGTTGTTCTGGTTCYTACAGGCGCAGAGCTGACATTCAACTACAACCTGCACTGTGTGGGCAACAGGAGGATGTCCTGTCACTGTGGATCTGACAACTGCTCTGGATTCCTCGGAGTGCAGCCGACGGTAAGAGCTCTCACCTCCTCCTCYCAGAACACTTCGCTTGTCCTTGAGCGAACCCGAGTGCTTGACGCCGTTAGTTTTTCTTCCAGAGCGCCGTGGTGGTGGAGAAAGAGGAGAAGGCCAAGAACGCAAAGATGAAGCCGAAGAAGCGGAAGCTCCGGATGGAGGGGAARCACACGCACGAGTACTTCTGTTTTTGTTGTGGGGAAGGAGGAGAACTGGTGATGTGTGACAGGAAAGACTGTCCGAAAGCATATCACCTTCTGTGTCTCAACCTCACCAAGCCGCCATACGGTAAAGACGACGTTTATTTTTTAAGCTCTTATAGATGCGCTTTGTTTTAAAGTAATGGTGATCTCCACTCGTGATGTCACGCATAACATTTACATACTTTATCTGCTGCTTTCTCAAATGATTATTATACATTACACAGAGATTTTTACATTTTATGAACTTTAATCTTCCAGTCCTTATGGCTGATGGTCTTCTGCCCTAATTCAACAGTATACAGTAAAATGACAGGTTTGTTTTGTTTCTTTGTTTGTGCAGCTGACCGTGCTGCACCCTATGACTATTTTTACAGATAAATCAACCAAATTAAAGTGACTAGCTTTGCAGAAGTTCACACACAGGTTGTTTTGATGTCTGTCTTGGCGAAGTGGGCCGCCCTCTAAACAGCGTGAYGTCACATGCAAAGGGTCAATAGCTTAGCCTGCCACATCTATCCTGTGTGTATTTTCATCACTTCTGTGTCATTTAAAGAAACTTATTGATGTTTACAATTTGTGTAAGTAGTAATGTCACCGTATGTATGACAGACTGCTGTACACTGCTGTTTGAGGCTAGCATGGATGCTACAAGTAGGGCTGGGCGGTATGGCCCAAAAAAATTTTTTTTAATCCCAAATTCGATTTTCGATTTGTTTCCCACTTAACAGAGTGCCTCTGTTTCAGGTGTTGAAACAAATTTGTTGTACTCCTGCTTTTTGTAGCAAGAGCCTTCAAGCAGATTTTGAGGGGAGGTGTTTGTTGCTCCATGTCTGAGGTTGCGAAACCTAACCAGTTCCAGAAAACTGAAGAAACAGTGCCTTTTTAGGGAAAGTAGATCCTCTCTGCTAGCTGACATATTGTCATGTTGTGTACCAAGCATCTTGAGGGGCAGGTGAGATGATCTCTGAACTACAGAAGCTCCAGAGAGTGCACTAGTGGGAAAAAAAATCCAGATTTTCCCAAAATTAAATCTTTATAAATGGCGAACTCGAATTAATCGATTAAATCGATTTATCGCCCAACCCTAGCTACAAGTGAAGCTATCAGTTCAGTAAAAACAATATAAGGTTTACTGTAAATGGCTTGAACTTATGTAGCGCCTTATCAAGTCCATATGGACCTCAAAGCCCTTTACACTTCACCCTTTCACACACATGGTGGTAAGCTACATTGTAGCCACAGCTGCCGTGCACCGGACCCCCTGACCACCTCAGTACTGTACCTGTTTGTGGACATAAAGTGCAGAGATGGGATCAGGGTGGTCCAGTRTTGRTCTTTTACCTCCCATAAAATCTTTGGCGCAGACATAAGTCCATGATTGCACCTTTTTCCAGGGAAATTCAGCTCGTCCCGTCTCTCAAATCCAGCTGTTAGCTAGCATCTTAGTTTGGAAAAAGTGGAAAACAGACTCCTTCCATGTGGGGATGATGGCTGTATCCTGAGTTGCTGGTACAAGTAGCATAGCACAACGTTTTGTGGTCCTTCTGGTTGAATTTGGTGCATTCTTCTTGAATTTCTTTAAGTTTAAACACAGTTAAACCAGTGTTGTAAAAATATCCTGAGTGGAGATTGTCATTCTTGTTGAGCGTCGTCGGTTAAATCTCTGATTGCCTCTGTGTTGACGCTTCCTCCTGTGTGCAGGACGCTGGGAATGCCCGTGGCACGACTGCAGCGTGTGCGGCGCGCCGGCCTCGTCGCTCTGTGACTTCTGCCCCCGCTCCTTCTGCCGGGACCACGAGGCGGGGGCGCTCTCCGCCTCCTCCCTGGACAGCCGCCCCTGCTGCAGCGGCCACAACCCGCTCAGCCCGCTCGGCTCGGGCTCGGGCCCGGCCCAACCGCGCCGCCGCGCTCTGAGCCCCGCCCGGGTCAAAGAGGAGCCGGAGGCGGTCCAGCCGACCAAAGAGTGACGCCCCCGGCTCTTTACAATACCTCATTCCCAGCCAAGTGCTCTGTGGTCTGCAGCGKCGCACCTCAGCGTGGGATTCAGTGTTTGTTTGTGTTTGTTTTCGACCGGTGTGACGGCCAACATTCAGAGCCAACTGATGAACACCTCAACGCTGTCTGCTGCAGCTAGAGTGACGACAGAGAAGCGACCGGGCATAAATGTGCGCTGTTTCCTTTTTCCACTCTGGCCATAAAAAAACACGACCTTCACTCTCTGCAGCTCGCCTGTTCCCATCAGAGGGTCCAGACCGCCACGTTTTTGTCTTTTCTTATCTTTTCTGTATCTTCTTTTTATTTTTAAAGCTGTGGAATTTATGTAAAATGTAGTCAGTTAACAACCGTGAGGCGGGGAGTAGAGGAGGACCGTCGTATTGCTGCTCCTCCTCGTTTTTACCCTCCTGGAAGTGGTCGATATCTCACACGCGATGAGGACGAGCTTCTCTTCATCGCCTCCTGACACAAACCCATCGTCCTTTTTATCTCTTCTATTTCTCGTAGACTGAGGAAACGACCAATTTTGTGCAATTTTTCTTTCCAGGACCACACTACATTTCAATCTTCCTTAAACATGGTTTTAATATACTTATGGGTATAGATGAATATAATTATATACAGTATCTACGTTTGTTAATGTTTACAGACAGATTCTCTCACTTCATCTCGGTGAGTGGCGTATTACGTTTGTTTGTTTCGGTGTTTGAACATTACGCAGACCTCTTTGTGAAAATAGTCCTATTAAGGTGAAATATAATGGTATATAGTGTAATGGTATGACATTACAGAAGTACTTGTGATTTCATATTGCCAGTCTCACTCGCCATCGTGTACATAAATTGGCTCACAATATTGTAAAGTACTTAAAGATCAGGAAGAGCGAAGCCTCGTCTCTCTTGTTGCTTTTGAACGATCTTTCTTTTTATTTTTATTTTTTCCAGATGTTTTTTTTTTTGGTTTTGTTTTCAGAGTCATGTCCTCCGAGTTGTTGTAGATTGAAGAGGCCAGCTTGTGATCACTGGTGCTGTCTTACAGTGTTGGTAAAAAAGAGAAAAAAAAAGCCTTACGTTTTTTTTTGTTTGTTTTGTTTTTATTTGATGCAGTGCATTTCAGTAATTTATGTTCCATTTGTGTACTGTGACGGCTCTGTTACTGAGGAGTCGTGGTTTGTTTCGGTTTGTTTTTGCCAAACGTCTATGAAAAGCACTTTCACGCGGCTCGTTGCTACACGGTTTATCTCGGACAGATTTGCAGAAAAACTTAGAAATGACAAGTGTTTCAAAACGGATACCTCTTTCTTGTTTGAATTCAAATTTGTGTCGTAACCTTTTTTCTTTTCTTTTTTYGTCAGAAATCTCGTCAATGCTGGGTTTGTCTTGTTTTTTTCTTTTAGGAAAGTGGCCTAATTTCTACTTTATTTCASTTTTTCACAAATAGGAATAACTGCCACCCCAGCGTCATATAAAAAAAGGAAAAAAAAGTTTGTGTCCTCCAGAAGCACTTTTTTCTTTTTTTTCCCACCTGGAGGAGAAAATCCTCAAGGCTGGACTTTATATAAAGAAGTAACAACAATCTAGTTCAGTATAGTGTACAAACAGAAACTTCTGTACAGTGTTTTTAATCGCTCATCTGTCAAATCTAAATTTTTTGTATTTATTGCACCACATTTTATACCAATTTCTTTTTTCAAACACCAGTGCAGTTTTCTGTGTTCTTTCTCACCGAGGTGTAAGAATAGATTTAAGAAAAAAAAAAAGAAAAAAAAAAACGACACGGAGTTTTACATATTATGCTTGTATCTAGTCATTTTCTTACATTTGGTGTAATGATTCCACATTGGTAACAGCAGCTGCTCATCGGCCTGTATCGTGACTCACTGTAATYGGTGTTTAAAGCAGTGTGAAGCAGTTCAGTATTGGAATGTAAAGTTTTTGTTTCAGAGAGTTCGTTCGTGACGATTTGGTCCCGACAAGTAATTTTCTTTCTTTTTTTAATTTTTTTGTAATCACACCTTTTTTTTTCTTTGATCCCTTTTATTGTTTTCTTCCTTTCAAAATAAGATGCGTTTGGGTTTTATTTTGATGTAACGTGGAGTCACAGGGTAAAATGATGCMATTGTTTTCATGTTTTCTCAGCTTGATTGAGGTTGAATTTAAATGCTAAGAGTAGATTCACTCAGCTGCCTGTGTTTTYCTTGAAACAATTCAGAAATCGTTTAGTTATAAGAACAATCGTTCTGTTCTTTAATTTATTGTTTTTTCCATTTTTTGATGCCAAATTTGCATTGATGGGCCAAGCAAAAGAAAATGTGTAATGATTATTAAAAGTTGTATCTGAACATTTAAACCTTAAACGCTCAACTCAAATTGTTACATTTTTTATTTTATTTTTTTATAAACTGGCAGCTAAGTCTGAACACAACATTAAAATCTAAACAAGGGAAAAAAATTACTCTGTAAACCAGTTAGTGTTTTTATTTTTCTTGATTAAAACGTGATTTCGGTCCGGTTCACTCACTGGGTTTAAAACTTGTTGCATATTAAACAAATAATCAAAAGAAAAACTCTGTCTACATTTGGAAAAATTTAATTTTAGGTTCTTAAAATCAGGTTGCAAAGTTAAAAGTAAATCTGTGAAGAAGATTGAGTTGCAGTTTTAAAACGTACTTAAAAACCAAAAGCTGTAAGACCACATATAAATGCTCACATTTGCTCTTTAGCATTCAGCGCTCCTTATGTTTTCTCCTTTTGTTAAATTATTTCATTTTTCCCCCACAGGCTTTATCTGCAGACATTTAGGACCAGAGGCATCATATTGTTTATGAAAATCATTTAATTTCTGATTTAACTGTTCAAAAATCCCTTTTTTTATGGTGAAAACTGTTCAGTTGAAATGCATGCTTCCAACATCAGATGTTTTAAAGCTGCCAATGTTTTTTATTTTTGTTGCACAGAAATTCAGCAAAACCGAAAGCCTTTGTTCTTTTTTTTTCTTTGTACCTGCAGATGGCATGGTTGCGCTCTTTATTTTTGTTTTTCCTCTGTGCCATTTTGTCTTCTGCCCTGCTGAGCTGTTACAGCAGCAGTATTACTACTTTATTTGTCCCTGTGTTCACCACATTTATATATGTTTTATTTTTATTTTTTGCAAAGACAGCATGTTYGTTCTCATTTTAAGTGACCCTTAAAAATTCCCGAGGAGGATTTTTTTCACTTGTTTTTTTAATTTTCCAGGATGGACCACCCTTGTTTGTCAGAGGGGCATGTTTCAGTTCGCTGTGATGTCTTTTTTGTTTAGTTTTGTTTTTGTTTTGGTGCAATGACTCATTAGGTCTTACCTGACATGCTGTCAAATAGTGTTGGAATAAAGGAATAAACTCATCTGCATAAGCACTCTTCATCTTTTTACTTGTAGAAAACTTGCTCACAGTAACTCTAACTGGGGTCATATCTATCTCTCTTGGTGTTGCTTCAATTAAAACGTGGATGAACACACAATGCCATGGTTTACTGTTCAACCTGTGTTACTGCATACAACATATTGTTGAGGAACTTGTAAATACTTTGAATTTGCATAGACTCATGTTACTGTGGCGTGCTCTTTTTTGCCTGTACAATTCTGCTTCTAAATGTGTGTGACTGTTGAGACGACACTTCTTTTTTTTTTCTTTTTGTACATGACTTGTCTTTTCATTTGAGAATATTGATTCTGTCCCTTTTTCAGCCCATTCTAATGTTCAGTTTGAAGAGTTCAGACATGCTTGAAGTTTGACTTTAATAAAGCTGTACTCTGTCTCAGTGAAACGTTCGCACTCTGTGGAGCTTTTTATCTGTCTTGTGATTTTGGACAAACCCAGGTCAGGTTCAGTTTAAGATTTTCAGGAACAACAGAGTCATCCTCCATCTCACTGTTCACCTTCATGTCTTCACTAACAGCATCCATATATCTCATGTCCAACCCATCTCTGATCTCCATCTCCCACTGTTTGAATCTTTCATTCCTAATCTTAGTCCTCCTGCCTAAGGAGAACCTCAGCATCTTTAACTTACGTTTTTTTTTTTTTTTTTTGTTCCACTTTTTCTAAGCCATACAACATAGCTGGTCCCTTGTAAACATTTCCTTTATGTGACGTGGCTTCTTGCATCCTCACGTCAAGACCAGTGAAATCAGAAAAAGAAGTGTTTCCTGTTTATAAAACTGAAATTAAAACAAAACATGGACATTAAAGTAGACGGGTGTTTTATTAATATACTGAAGTGTTATGCAGAAGTAGTTTTTGTAATGTAAATATATATGTAAATAATACTATTTAAATTTTATTTGGAGAATTAAAAAGCCTCCTGAGAAATTTTTGTTAGGTTGTTGTGCTTTTATTATGAAGATCCTAACCGGATGTGTGTGACTTTCTCCCGTGAGCTTCACGCGCTGCTCACATCCTCGGTAACATCTTGGTTTCTCTAAAAACGCCGGAATTCCACTGCCTGTGGCCAGCAGCAGGGGATGTCGTGGCGTGTCTTTGGAGCATGTTAACCCGAGGATGAGGAGACAAGACGCGGTCTGTTTGAGGTATGCTTCCGAAAGTTAAAATTCTGTGATGGACGAGGCGGAAATGAGCCAGATGTCTGGTTTGACAGATGTTGCTTGCTAGCTTAGCTCTCTACTCATTAGCTTGTTTTTTCCTGTCCTTTGACTGAGCATCATTTGATTTAATTTAACAATGACTTTATATATTTAAAAAAAAAACATTAAACTTCCATTTAATATGCCTGGAAGAGGAAGTAAATTAGTCTATATAGGAATTTGAGATCAATAAGTTAAAGCTCGTAGAGAACTGGCTAATCATTATCTTATTTTTAATGCGTGTCAGTGACCTAAAATAAAAGGACAAAATTATTATTACTTCAGATGTATAAAATACTTGTAGTGGTCTTTRAGGGCTACTATCCTGCATGTTGTTTCCTTCCTCCAACACACCTGCTTTAATGGTAATTTAATGGAATAATTTAATTTCTGTGGCTCTGTTAATCACCCATTCATTCAAACCAGGTGTGCTGAAGCAGAGAAAAGATAAAAACATGCCTGTTAGTTGACCCTTGAGGACAGAAATAGTCACTTAGTGACTCGTTACTTTAGAAAATRTTTTAATAAGAAGTATGGAAGATCTTAAAATGCATAAATATCACAGAGGACATGAAGATATCAAAAAGACTGCTCATTTTGGAAGCCCTACTAATTTATACCTTTTATTTTTTTAAATCCTTCAATCAGTGTAGAGTTGTCTGATGGCACTTTAGAAAAATGTCACTTAGAATCAGTGAAGTCACAGGGCTGTGGCATGGTTAAAATCCAGACTGGTGGATTTTAAATTAATCATTTTGCACCAGAAAAATGTTAAGTTACAAAGAAATGTTTATTTTTATTTCAGCCCAGGTTTGCTAAAAGGCCTGCAATGGTGTATGTGCTTTACTAAAAGCAGTAACTTGTAACTGATACTGTCGAGTAAAAAGCATTTAAAGTATTTAGTAGTCTTGAGGTCATAATTTCTCTGACAGCTGTATTATCTAGTTTAAAAAGGACAAATACTTGATAGGAATGCAACTGGAAAGAGACTAAGACAAATTGCAGATTTATATGTGTGTGTGTGTGTGTGTGTGTGTGTGTGTGTGTGTGTGTGTGTGTGT